CCCTTTCATAGTTCTTCCCTCAAAAGTCGCATTATGCTAATACTATTGTCTTTTTTCCATAAATACTGCATGTAACGAATGGATTTTGCATTGTATTTGAAATTTTGTGCCAATTTTCGAATATTTTGGCCATCCAGCTGCTCTTTATTTTGGTATTTTGTTGATTTCTGCTTGTGATCATTGATGGGTATTTTGTGGACTTTGAAAATTGTTGGAAATTATTTCATAAAAATCCATTGTATCCTATTAAAATGTGCTTTGAAATGCATTGAATGTCTGTTTGTACTTTTAGAATTCCTAATAAATTCTTTCATGAACATTTCATGTTGTTTTAAACTTTGTTGTGAAGCAAGCCTACGAGGAGGTTTATTCTATCGAAAAACTTTTAAAGGCACAGTTAAAGATACTGTGAATACTATTTTTTGTCAGTCCTGCCTCGTCTGGTGTAATTGGCGCGTCATAGAACGCATAAATAAATAAATAAATAAATAAATAAATAAATAAATTTTCCAGTAGAAAACTGAAATATTAGTGCAGACTAATGCATTGGTGGCAAAGAAAACACAAAATTAGCAGAATTTGTGACTTATAGAGTTAATAAAAGTAGGTAGAGAAGAGCATGCTTGAGCTCCAAGCAAAGGAATCGGTTTCTGCCTTCAACTACGCCATGAGTAGCTGGCCAGAACGATCAGCCGTCTGAATTTCGAAATCTGTGCCCTAGGGTGATTGGCCCAGTCTAAATAACGCCGTTAGAACACGTCCCTGATCGGGTGTGGATTTCGTCGAACCCGATCTTCGAACCAATATTGCGTCAAATCTAGGCCGATTTTAATCCGACAGCTTCCCATATGACATACTTAGGGGGGACAAGTTTGTCAGTTCGCCAGTTCGTCAATTTAGAAACTTTGTCATCGCGGACGGTGTTTTTAAGCGTTTCTCATGATTTCACAGAAACACATTTTAGTCGGCGATCCTTGAAGAACCAAACTCTCCAAGATGCAGGAAAGTTTGATTTTTCAGGAAAGAGGAAAGCAAGGCATAAATGCATCATGTCTCACAAAACTTGCTCAGAGGTGGGTTTGGAAAAAAAAACAGTCGACTGCCTCATTTCCGCAGTTAAGAGCATCCATAGGTGTTTACTGATCCGAGCAGTTTCTGAATCATCCATTATTCACCGATGTCTCCATAATCATGTTCGATACGTTACGCATGAGCCCCAGTCCGATAATTCGGAGGTTCCTGTTTCATACCATTCCTACACATTTCACTTTACTTGTGGATATTTGGTCAGACTTTCTTTCCAAAGTTGTAAGCCTCAAAAGGCCAGATATGTCACTGTGACTGACAGAGAACCGATTGAGCCGTTTGAGCACGTCCATCGTGACAGTAAACTTGCCTCATATACGCTGCCACCCGGTGGGAGTACTGCCTATTAGGCCACCCAGACAGCTTTGCGCAGAGGCGATAACGTGACCAATGAGGCTTTGCCGAGGTGCGTTTATTGCTGGTTGAAAACTTTTCCCAATTG